CTACATGATAGGATTCACACCCCTGTCCGTTGACCTTCATGCATCTTGCATCCTTAGTAGACCGACCTTTCGACAGAACCATATATTAACATCAATAAAAACAAGCTGCCTTCTGAAAAAAAAAGACATCCCAACAAACAGCCGCTTCCGGAACTGGAGGCTCCTGTGGCAGAGCCTGTCGGAGATGGGCGTTCGCTTCCTTCAACGAAGCGACAGGCTCAATAACATCAAGGCATCTCCATGTGAATTATTTACTTCCGCCCACTCGCACCTTTTTCCATCCCGCATCTGACCGGTTCTCCGAAATTCACACCCACCATCCTTTCCCCGTTTCCTGACATCTCGAGGGCACGGCACATGATGCTCATGCCAACACCATAATTATTCTGAAGGTTAAGTTTGAATAGGGTGATAAAAAAAAAATTCCCAACCGTTTTTATGGGAGAAACACAGCTTCATGAATAAATAAAGATGCAATGGCTATGCATTGGACGGTTAGGTGTTGGTTTTTTATTTACAGCACTCCTGCAGTGTCCATTCACCCCGTTTAGAAGTAGATCGTAGAGGTAGGTAGATAGGTTTTTAAATGAAACTCCAGCGGTTAAGCTGAGATATTCTCGAAAAACTATAGCAGTACATTATATAGCAGTATAGCTGGCATTTCCCAAGCCCCCAAGCCACAGCTGAACGAATCAGCCAAACTTGTTCAAATTCATCGGACAGCCATGATAAAAGCAACGCTACAGCTGGAGTAAAATTTCCATTACTATTTCTATGCGAAATAGTACCATTTCTGAAATATTATTCGAAAATCTGTTGTAGGGAGCTAAGCGGCAACAATCAAAATAAAAAACTCAAACAGTGCCGGTTTTGATTTGTAGAGAAAATAAAATTCAAAGTTTTTCATGATTACAAACGTATCCAAATTTTACTTTAAAATCCCCCAACTATGTATTGCACGCCTTCCTGCTCCTCTTTTGCAGAGTTTTCTTTCACTTTCTGAAGCTTCATGGCCTCCTTTCTGCTGAAAGAATGCAGAATTCTTATGGAAAAAAAAATTATCGTAACAACTTGTATGTCCAATATCGACATTTTATCTCGCCATTTTTGCTTGAATAGACGGATCTCATTATCCCCCAAAAGAAAACAGGAAGTTTTTTTTTTTATTATTCGCACCCCCCAAGTGACCCCGGTTCGGCTCCCATTCTCAGTGCACGAGTGCACGGCCGCTACCTTCATGGAGCATTCGAGTTACAGCCCGAAGGGACGCACGATTCATTTGCCATCTTCATTCGGGTCGTAGGAAATCGCCGACGGAAAATGCACACCCCTTAAAGAAAGGAACAGATTTAAAGGAACCCTTGCCCGAAATTTCGCTATCAAATCCGAAATGGTTCGGTTATTTCACAACAGTCAAAATTGACTTTCAAATATCGTCCTTCAAATTATAGCAAAATCGTGCACACTCGAGCATGGAGGTCAGCAATACGAACAGCAATGGAAATATCACATTATCACCGAATTGCCATACTTATTCCAGGCGAGTGAGAGTCCATTTCCAGCCCATTTCAATGGTCGCAGCGGGAGCAATCTTCACCTGCCAAATCGGTGAAAAAGAGAGACGGAAATGCGCTGCCACGAAGCGTGAATGCTTCATGGCAGCACATTTCCCTATTTTTCAAAGTGGATTTTGAAAATTAAAGTCTCCAATAATTCCCACGTTCCCTGACTTTTGCCCCCACCCTGCCTCTTCCCCGATCCACTTAAATACTTTACAAATAACGATGAAACAGGAAAAGCAAAAAGAACCACCCAGACGTCATCGTGGCTCAGGATCCGAACGGGCGACCGCGCTTTCGTTTCCTGGCCTCGACCTTTTCTTTTTTGGAGGGGTATATTTTTAAAAATAATTTTCCCAGTAGGTGGCCCTCGAGAGTGAAGGATTCTTGGCTCTCACTCGGGTCTTCGTATTCCATGTTCTACAAACTATGAAATAGTTCAAGATGCCAAGAATCGCGGTCCCGATCCATCCATCAAAAAACTTCTTGCCATTCCGTCAGTTTGAGACTGCCAGGAACCGTAATGGCAAAGCACGGACTCTGCTGAAATTCCATTTGCGTCTGGAAAACTTCTATTTCCGAATAACGTCTACTCCGGTCACGAATATTGTCGTCCTTAACACAACCGTGACTCATAGCCGACGGTGTCGATCTGCGACGAGTTGCCAAACGAGCCGCTACACCTTTCATCGCGACTTTCCGGCCGAGTCGTGAGGCCATTGCAGACCATCACATTCTCCTCGGCCGAGTAAATGCGGAAAGGGAACACGCTTCAGTTCCACTCCGCCGGCTCATCTCTTTGCATCACTTCGTTTAAACGCAAAAAAAAGATTGATGGGATGAAACCCAGGCGTGACCCCGCATCGTTCCCCAACCCACGCTAAGCCAATGCCTATTTTCTCCCTCACGTCGTCGAGCGGACCCCATTCACGTCGCACGCCCAAAGGATGCGACAATAAATCGCTAGCCACACGCTCAACAGCGACTCTCGACCGCGAACCCTCTGCAAAGGATACCAAAGAAACTCTTCTTCGGAGCGACGTTTACTCCGTCCGTGTCGTGTCCGTTCTTCTTCAGCGGTCTTCATTCGAGTCAACTCGGCGAAACGAAATGGGCATCGACGTCGGTCATTCGTGGGAAGCACTTCCACGCGAGTCATTCCTCTCCGGGCAGAGAAAGATACACAAACACCCCAGACGATGACAGGAGGCTGAAAGAGACTCCGGTGGGAACCGCGGCCCCCGTCACGCCTTCTAAAATAAACCAGACCTCCTCGCCGTCACACGCAAAGACTTACACTCCACATCATTTACCCGAACGAAAGAACAAAAAAAGACTCACGAAAGCATGACATGACCCTCCAGACGGCAGAGCTCCTCCTCCGTCGGAACCAGACCGGCGACTAAACATGCAGGCGAACATCCTCCGTTCCGACGGCTGCATGTGCCGTGACGTCACCACTAACGGATTCTCTGATTGGTTGGAGACCCCGGCAGACAGACCTGCCCCTCCCCCGCCCCTCCAACCTTCCTTCGTGCAGGTGCAAGTTTTCACGACCCCACACGCACCAGACGCCTCAGTCTAATGGCTTTCTTTTTTTTCCGGCAGAGTCGGTGGCCAGACGAGGATACAGATCCCTGTCACGCGATATCGTCGTCCTTCAAAGTTACGCCGAGGGTCGTTCGAGCCCGTCGAAACGGGATACGATTCGGAGGTCCATTCGAGTTCGTTCTTTCCTGCAGCCGGAAGCATTCACTTCCGCGGTCAACTAATTTTTACCTCTCAAGTCACCGCAGTCGTTCGGTACAGATTACGAAATGGCGAATTCGATCGAAATGGGAGCCGTGAGGATTTCTGGGCGTAACAGTGGCCACAAAACCATATGGTCAGTGAGGTTGCCTAGGGAACGACAGTGTCGCTAGATGGCAGCGTGTGCGGCAGTCGACCAGCGAATGAGGTTAATATCTGTGATACCCTATTTGTCCTATTCGTGTTCGTTGTCGTCCCATTTTCACTCAATGGGCGTCAAGAAACGTCCTTCGTGGCCGTGATGAGGGCTGAATGATGGTGGTGAATGATGATGAATGATCGACGCGAAGGAAAAGTTCTTCGTGTCGATTTTCGTCCTGCAAAAGATCTTCTGCAGGAGTTTACATGGGGTCAAGGGAAATCGTTACGTCGAGTATTAATTATTTGCATTTGTATTTGCAATGAGGAAATTGGGTTTTTGGCCTTCCGGCACACCGAAGGGAGAAGAATGGGGTCAGAGTCCACCGGCTTCACGAGACGCGTGTGAATGAGATCGGGGATCGACCGCACGCAAAATCACTCCATACATTTTAAACACATTAGTCAAATCGCTCCCATCGTAACGGGAACGTGCCCCGAACCGGGAACGCGATCGCTTCGCGATGACGTCACGCGAGAAGACACTCGATTCCCGAGTCACGAAACGAATGATGCGATGAAGAGTCGATCGTGAAATGTAAACAGTCAGCAAAATGGTCAACACCGGGACCCGAAGCGCCAAAGTGATCAAAAAGATCCTTCGCCCATCCCAAACAACTATTTTAAATTAATTTTCACCGTACGTTTCACTTTCACTACTTGGGTTCACTCGATGAATAGGCCTAATCCTCGGACGAGAACGTCGAGGCGTTCCGTGGGGAGGAGAAAGAACTCGTAGGCCCTGCTCCGACCACCGACAACTTCAAGCACCACGCGAGATACTCGAGACACGAGTGGCCCGCAATGCAGAGGACTGCCGTCGACGCTCGCGACATCTGCACCAGCGCGAGCGAACAACCAGCACCCGAGGCGACATCTGCGCTCGTAAAGCGAACCGAGCCCAGTCGGGACGAGGCCTCCGCTCGGGATGCAGGCTCCTCTCGACGTCTCCCGAAGGCTGAAAGGTAAGGCACTCCCCCGACCTTTTCCCAACCAAGCGAGAACGAACGTCTCGGTGTGATGACGCCGTCTGCTCGATTCCTTTCTTCAGCCGTGTCACTGATGTCATGTTTTCCTCTTTCTTTTTTATCTCTTCGTTCCAAAAAATCTCTTCAAAATACTTAGCCTAATTACGATCGCAATTCATGACGAAGCGAAATTCCGTATCGAAATTTCTAGTGCACGGCACAGCATTAACATATGGCTGGATTACTGTATCAGATTCTACTTGATCCAGAATTGCAGTTACGTAATTAACGGTTCCATCCGTCGAGTCCCTTTACCGTCAGATGATTCATTTTGATTTTTCCAACTGGGAAACAGATGGAAAGTGCCTTCCACTGACAGGTGAGGCACTCCCGATCTTCGCGAGCGAGAACCTAGGTCAGTGGCGACATCTGTGCTTACGTATGCGAACTTCATCGGTTTCCCTCTGGAGGCTCGGTTGCCCTTTCATCACGTTCAAACGCGAACGAGTGAATGCGGGGTCATTTTCCTGCAACAAGTCTTTTAATGCCCAAATTCTGGTTTCATACAAAACAAAGAATTCTCTTCTCATCCGGGGAACATTTAATTACAAGACTCCACGGAAATAAGTGAGCTGCATGCAGGGGATAGGCCACTCCAGACCCCTTTTTTTTCGACTACTTTCCGAACTACGAACTTCCCCCCCACAAAAGGGGGCGCCAAAAACGACGAATCCGGCCTCGGATCACCTTTTCCCCTCGGTTGCAATGCACATGAATAGAAAAAAAAGATACACGCACGAAAAAAAAAGGCACAGGTACCCTCTGATTGGGATGCTTGCTCTCTCCGAGACTGGGCAAAATTTTTTTTGCGTGCTACGAGAATTCCGATGACAAAAACACACTCCCTTCCGGCGTATCACAGGTCATCGATCGATGGATTGATCGATTCGGCCGAAGGTCGATGCTACGGGGGTGTAGATAGCACGCGTTCCTCGCCCATTTTTCCACGGAGTCGGCAAAATTAACTTGGCACACAGCGGGAAGACAGACCCGATATTGCAACGCGGGCGGCGTGGACTCGACGCCGCACGAAACCGCCCCGAGATCAGGCATCGCACGACGACGACAAAAAAAAAATTACCGTGGAAGACCGAACGAATACCAAAAAAAAAAGACCAGAACTTCCGAGGAACGGAATCCTCTCTCTCTCCAAGACCAAAAAAAAAAAAAGTAAGTAGACGGCGTGTTCCAGGGTCACACGTATCACTGCATTGAGCACTCGACGGTATCACGGCTGGCAGTGTGTGCCTTCCTCTGAGATTCCACACACCCTGGGGGACGATCCACCGCTCCGAAAAACCAGCCAGCCACTCACAGCCTCGAAGCATCGCAGTCGGCGAAATCGGACAGGAGCTGCACGGCATACGCGAGCCTCTCGTGCACCGCCGCCTCGCAGCCGTGCTCCGCGATCGACGAGAGGAGGAAGGTCTGGCTCACGCGATCCCCGTTCACGTACATCACCAGGTAGTCCTCCTCGTCTTCGACGCCGGCCTCTTCCGGCCCCATCCGCCGCCTGCTCGTGCCTGAGATCACGATCTTGGTGTGGTCCTTGAAGAAGTTGATCTGCAGGGGAAGAGAGAGAGAGAGATCGAAAATCGAAAAAATCTCTAACGTCGAAAACCACCAGAATATCGTGTCCCACCTGGAAGGTGCCATCGTCCAGCTGCATCACTATGGCCTTGGGCGACCGACTCCACCGCTCCATGAAGGGAAGACTCGCGGCCGAGGGCGAGACTGGACTCCCCACCTCCCCGCCCTCCGTCAGGTTCTCGTCCATGAAGTGAGCAAAGTACCTGAGGAGGGTGAATCGCTCGCTCAGGCTGGACGGGACGCACGACGTGGAGTGGACCGAGTGCTTCCCCCGCACGTCCCGAACCTCGATCCTCCTGCGATCCGTCACACGGTGTGCACATCCATCATTTTCCCGAAAAGTTATCGGTGTGCGTGCACGAGATGCAAGACTCACCTCTTGTCGGGCGAGCAGGAAATTCGGATGTTGTCGTTGAAGAGCACTCCGACGGTGCGGTCGGACAGCTGGAACCCGAACCCGTACTTATTGCTGTAGTCGATCCACTTGGATATGAAAGGCGGGGTGTGATTGACCAGGACGGGAGTCCTCGTCCCCCTCCCCTTCTCCAGGCAGCGCTGGATGCAGCGGAGCATGTGCCTTGTGGTCGCGGCCCTGGACCGGCTCCCGGGCGAGTCTGAGATCAGCGCCGGGACGTCCGGCTTCACACGCATCACAGACGGCTTCTCCGACATCTCTCGAAGGCTCTGACTCCGACACAGCCCGTTCGAACCCTTCTGGAAGCACGAGAGGACGACGATGCATCGGTCGCATTCGAGTATCGAACGTTAAATTTAAGCGTTTTCTCGGCCGAACGGTTCGTTTTGGAGCGACCTCCGTTCATCGTGGGAAATATCGATATCGTGGCACCACACCGCCTGCATCTACTCTCACAGTCAGTTCCATATCGTGATAAAGCGATACGCCAGTTATCATGACACTCAGACCGATACGAGCTTCTGAATAGTCGATTCCCCCCGCCTTGTTATGCAACACCCTCCCCGACATTTCCCTCGGCACCCAGGCGCCACCGCGCCCAAGCTCCACGACCAGCCAGACCGAACGCTCCAACTCGAACCGTTCGGCTCCGCGGAGATTTCGCCCGGTTAACGTACGGCTCGGGACGGCTTGCGAGTCGAGGCCGGACCCTTGTTCGAGGAGGAAGACGAAGAGGAAGAAGAAGGTTGGTGATTGTTCATGCGCAGGGAGAGGACGCAGGACATGATGCGGTGCATCTCCTCGTTCCACCCGCCGCTGCCGCCACCGCCTTCCTCCAGGTTGCTGGACTGGGGCCTGAAAATACACGAGGCTCTTCATTTCTCTATCCGTTTGTGCGATAGCGAAAAACCAGAGTTTCGGTTTCGTGTGCCAAAAATGCGATCGTCGATAAAAAAAAAAAGAAATAAAAAGATAGCCATTGGACCTTACTGCAATAAATACAATTTGGAAACAGCACATCTTGAGAACACTCGAAAGCAACGACAAACAGCGCAGTCCCTATCAGAAATCCGCGACACCATTCAAGGTCTCACTATCGTTACTTCCGAAAAAAAAAAAACATCCAGAGCAATTTCCAGATCCGAAAGAACCAAGAACCGCATTCCCTTCCCTCCTCACCTGGTAACAAGAACGCTGGACGCGAACTTGGGCGGCTTCTGGCAGCTCGACGTCGGCAGAGACTTGGGCACGAACGCCCTGAAGAAATCCCGCCCCAGGATGTGGGCCGGGCCCGGCCTCGCCTCTGGGCTCGGGTGCAGCAGCTCCCTGATGAGGGAGCAGGCCGCGGGGGAAAGACTCGGCGGGAGGATGAACTTGTTGTGCATGATGCGGTAGTAGGTGCCTTGGAGGGTGGCCGTTTCGAAGGGGGGCTGGCCCACGAGCATCGCGTACCTGTTTGGCGGTTACACACTCTTTATTTGGCACATTTCTGGATGCCTTTTTTTTTTCTTACTAATGGGGAGACTTGGGTGAATACAGGATATTAAAGGGAAAATATAAAATATAAACATAAAAAATAACAAAAACAAAATAAAGAACAAATTAGGATTATCCACTTGTGCATCTTTGCTCTCATTCTCACTTTGCGAAACTTTCCCTATGAATGGATATGTTCCCAACATATTTCTAAAATTTCATTGAAATTGATTTTGCCATAGTAAAATTGCCACGATCTTAAAAGAAATCGGACTTAGAAATTGAAAATGGACATGAATCCCTTCTTGTTGCCCGGTCCCCCCAACTGATTCTCCGATGAAGACGGGGAGAAAATGGGAATACTTTACGAGCGAATTCTGTTTTGAAACATGATCTAATAGTCATCAACTGCAATAAAACTCATCATCCGCAATAAAAAGGCCAGCAAAAAAAAAGAACATGATCTAGCCTGGAGCGCTTGTCCTACACAGGTGCGATGAATCTGGAAGAAACTTCGAAGGAGAATATCCACGGAAGCACGCTGCAAGTTTCATAGAGATATCTCTGGCGAGGGCAGAGATACACAGACCGGTATTTTCTCGCCGTACAGGAATTTATGATCTCGGAACCGCGATTCCCCTTTCTTCCTATTAACGGGAAGCTCTTACGCCATAAATTTCCCAATAACCCAGCCAACAGTCAATTACCGCGACCAGTACCAGGCACAGACCGAGAAACATAACTCGTCCCCTCCCCTCCCCCCCCCAACCGCACCCCCTCCCCTCCCCTCCCCTCCCCCCGCCCCCGCCCCCGCCCCCGCCCCCCCAGAAAGAAGATACACAAGCTCACATGATGCATCCCATGGCCCAGGTGTCCGACTCGAAGCAGTGCCCCTCTTTGTTCAGCACCTCGGGGGCGATGTAGTTCGGCGTCCCGCAGATCGTCCTGCAAAACCGAACGCGCCAGAGTCAGCATCACAATTTTCTCTCAAAGATCTCTCAGCATTCCTTCCGGCAACCATTCATCGACGCGATCGACTCCTCGACAGATCCGAGTCGAATCGGCTTCCATAACTCATCGGAAACAAAAGCCAGACCCTCTCTTCGAACGGCGGGAACAATGGAAAACGATTTTCCAATCGCTCCACTCTCGGCGCCACCGCCGACATAATGCGCCGCGACCGGCCGACGGAATCCGAGGAATGCGCGAAACCGGGCAAGCCACGAAACGAATTAGACCGCAAGTATCGCCGGACGGAATGCCGACTCTCGCTCCGACCCTTAGGGTAGAGGAGAGACGAGTCCATGAATCCCAGATGAGCACGTGAGACAAAGGGAGATGAAGGGGAACTTTTTTTACGTTTTTTTTCCCCTCTCGCCCCGAAAGTGAATACCGGCCAACAAAAGGGCTAATCACCGGCTAGCTCCAAGATTTTTCTACCCCCTTCCTGGAAGCGAATCGCGAGAATCTCCCCCCTTCCGAGTCGATATCCTTCGGGGTGTCCTTGACTCCTTCCGTTGTGCCCAAAGGCAGTGCTGCCAGATACAGCTATTCGTAGCGGAAACGAACCCCCCCTCGTCTCAACGGTTGCACTCTCTCGCATCTCCAGTTGCAAGCTAACGAAGTACCGCGCAATCATTCCTTCAATTTATGCGTCCCGAAAAAAAAAAAAAGCCAGGCCGTATCCCCGTGAAGGGAAACCACCTCTCACATCTGCCTCATCCCACTTATCGCCAACCATGCGTTCAGTTCCGGACGCCACTCCCCCCCCCCCCCCCCCCCC